ACACCCTGTAGGACAGCAACTTTGCGGAGTGCCCTCTCTCACTCCAGGACCCCTCAGGGCATGTCAGAGAGCCAGTTTCAGCCTGATCCCTGCAGGCCAGGCCGAGAGACCCCACCTGCCAGAGGGACCTGCTCACTCCACAGACACCGAGGAGGAGGAACAACAGGAGGTTGGCTCCACGATGTGTCCAGCCCATCTCAGCCAGTCTCACCATGCCAGCCACCTTCTAATTAATTTCCATTCATTGTGCACGAATCCATGCACCGAGTCACTAGTTTTTCTATAGGTAAATATATACTTATAAAGTATACATATATGCTTTATTATCTATACTAATAAAACCCTACGTGGCCCTCACACCCTCACGCGATGCCCTCACGTCACCACAAGATGGCCAGCAGGGGAGGGCAGTTGTGGGCGATCAGGCCAGCAGGGGAGGGCAGTTGGGGGTGACTAGGCTGGCAGGGGAGGGCAGTTGGGGGGGACCAAGCCTGCAGGGGAGGGCAGTTGGGGGGGATCAGGCCCCAAGGGGAGCAGTTAGGCATCAATCAGGCCAGCAGGGGAGTGGTTAGGGGGTGATCAGGCTGGCAGGCAGAACTGGTTAGGGGCAATCAGGCAGTCAGGCAGGCAAGTGGTTAGGAGCCAGCGGTCCTGGATTGTGAGAGAGATGTCCCAGATTAGAGAAGGTGCAGGCCCGGGCTGAGGGACACCCTCCCCCTGCATGAATTTCATGCACCGGGCCTCTAGTATATATATAAAATAACATTTATGTAACCATGGCCAGTGTGGCTCATTTGGTTGAACACTGTCCCATGCACGGAGAGGTTGCTGGTTTGATTCCCGTTCAGGGCACATGCCCAGGTTGCTGGCTAGATCCCCAATAAGGGGCATGCAGGAAGCAGCCGATCTATGCTTCTCTCTCTCCCCCTCTCCCTCTCTAAAATCAATAAAAACATACATACATACATTAAAAATCATAATAATAACAACACTCATATAGCATATAGATGTAAAATTTTTTAGGCATTTCTCCCTTTAAAATGAATTAACTCCAGCCCTGACCAGTTTGGCTCAGTGGATAGAGCGTCGGCCTGCGGACTGAAGGGTCCCAGGTTCAATTCTGGTCAAGGGCATGTACCTTGATTGTGGGCACATGGGGGGGGGGGCGCGGTGCAGAAAGCAGCTGGTCGATGTTTCTCTCTCATTGATGTTTCTAACTCTCTATTCCTCTCCCTTCCTTTCTGTAAAAAATCAATAAAATACATTTTTTTAAAAATAAATAAGTAAAAATAAAATGAATTAACTCCAACCTGGTAGATCCATTTAGATTGATTCCTTCACAATCCAGGCCTGCTTCATATAATACAATTTGCTACAGACTATTTTGGTCTGTGCGTATTTCCAGAGACCTACCATGAAACAGAAGCAGCAGAACTTTCTTCCACAAGAAGACAGTGACATTTCCATACAGACAAGCACCCACAGTGGCCATGTCCCTGGGAGTGGCTAGCTCAGGGTGCAGACAACACAAAAGCAACATTTTCCTTTCCATGTACCAAGTATGAGCCTCCCTAATATGATTAAAACACAGTAATCAATTCTGGCATAATTTAAATCATATTCTCAACATAAAAGAGGGATCAGAAGATCAGGGAAATGCTCTCTAGTGCCATAGTTTCTGTAATGATGTTAAAAAGCTAACTATACCGGTGTAATTATCACATGAAGTAGCTTTCATTTTGTAGCAGATTCCAGGCCAATCGAGTGTCCCCATCCACATCCTTATTCTATCCCACCACAAGGAGGACTGGAATATTTACACACACTTGCTGTGGACAGTCCTGTGCTGCGCGTGGAATGGCTCTCGGTGAAGGGAACAACATAACACTTGGAGACACTACCATCTTCTTCCAACCCAGAGAAGTCTGATTCCAAACACACCTGATTATCTCACCAACCCTTCCTAAGTTCCAGGATGAGGCAGCCCTGGCTGGGACAATGCCTCCAGGACCTCTGCTAACTCTTGGTAGAGGTTCAGCCACACACTGCATATTGATGCAGAAAACAGCTCCCATACAGAACCCAATGGACACTTGCAGATCCCCAACTAGATAGATGGCACCCATTTCCCCAAAATGCCCTGAACTGAGACCAGTAGCTGCTCCCGTCAAATGCTTTCACACAGTATGTCCTCTACAGTTCTATCAAGAAACTCACAATCCAGGTAACTAACACTAACAGCTAGACTTAGAAATAAATAACTGCTCAAATTCAATTTAAATATAACAATAATAGCTCATTTTTATTGAACACTTTCAATGTGCAAGGCACTGTTCTACATACTTTTTGCTTATTAGCTTATGGAATACCCTCAAAAAAGCCAGTTTACAGATAAGGACACATTCTCTGGTGCAGCCAGGAATTGGCCCTCAAGCAAAGCCTGGGGAGATAAGCAATAAATGAAGCACTCTCTCCTTCAATGCCTTCCTACCTTGTTTGGAAATGAGACCAGAGATCTAACTCAGGCTTTAGAACAAAGAAAAAACTAAGAGGTACAGCCTTAGGGCACCTCAGAGGAGGAAGGATTTGTTCATCCTGGTTGGTTGTTGGAGGGCTTCTTGGAGAAGGTGTCCAAGAAGGAGAGGACATAATGGAAGGAGCTTTCCAGGACTGTCACCCCTCGGCTCCCAGAGCTAAAAGGCCGGGTCTACTCTGCCTGGTCTCAGCCCCCCACCCCCCGCCCCTCACCCACCCGCTCTACTCTGCCTGGCCCCCTCCTGTCTCATCTGGAACAGGCCTGTTAACCAGGCAGGACCAGCAGCCCTTCTTCCCTTGGCATGCTCCTCCAGCTGCTGTTGCCCCTCCAGACCAGCAGGCACACATGGGCATTTTCACCACACGCAACTCTGCCACTTCCTGCAGCTTTCATGGTAGAGAAACTGTCGGACATGGGTAGTCCCAGGGGTGCCTTGGGGAATCGCTGTTGGACAATCCCTTGCCCTCACCAACTCCAGCAGGTAAGGGACTCCCCACCACCAGCAGGGCATCACTCCTCTACAGACTCAGAGGGACTTGCTTCCACTCCCTCCTCACAAGTCAGCCTCTCCCCTCACCAAGGGTCGGCTCCCCACCTCTCCCGCCTCAGTGCTTCAGGCTCTACAGCCAACGCTCAAACCCTCATTTTGGTAACTGTGTGACCCTGGCAAGTAACTTAAGGGATGTCAATCCGTTTCCTTATCTGTAATGTGGGTTTATAAGGATTCTTGTGACTCAGAACCAGATAATGCAAGGAAAGCGTTTCACAGAGTCTGGCACATAGTAAGTTAATAATGAGTAATAGCTATCCCTATCCTCAGCATCGGGGGTGATGGTGGCAGTGATAGGTGAGATGGGGTGGCAGCATCAACTTGGGCTTGATTGGCCCCAAGCGGGACATACCCCTCCTTCCCTCCTCCAGCTCCCCGCCCCCCAAGCCTTAGGGCTGAGCCACACCAGGAGACTCGTGCGTCCTCCAGCTGTGGAGTGAATGGCCCAGGAACATGGGCACCCCAACCCACCCGGAGCTTTGTGGGGTAAAGATGATTTTCTAATGGAGAAGGTCCAATTGGCCCTGCCCTCGCTCATACCCACTCTCCAGGTCTGGACAGACAAGTAGCAAAAGCACACAGCGCTGCGCCTGCGGCAACGCTCCCCCAAGGAGCCAGGAGAGCCTCCACTGTGCCCCCAGCTTCAGCTCCCCGACTGTCCCCCAGGCCCAGGCGAAACTGCGCTGCACTGAGTGGCCGAGATAACAGGTTGGCAAACAGGCGCAAACCCAACACTCTTCCCGAGGCAGGTGAGCAAACAACCCGCAACCTCTACACAACTTTGTGTATTTCTCCACGACAGGGCGCACCGCCTCAATTTCCCCTCCAGATTGCGCTCGAAGGGGGAGAGCGGGAAATCAAGATGCCCCCCCGGGGGGAGGGGACGGGGGGGAGCTCCGCAGGCCGCCGCCCGCCTGGGGAAGCCTCCCGGAGGCGCGCCCCGCCTTACCTGGTCGGACGGCTTTGAAGGTGACGGCCTCCTTGCAGCTGTCCAGGACGCCCAGC